ACAATCCTTTCCTGTGGTGTCCCTCAGGGATCTGTGCTTGGTCCCATTTTGTTCTAACTGTACATGCTTCCATTAGGATCTGTCTTAAGGAAATATGACCTTTCTTTTCACTGTTATGCGGACGACATTCAGATATACTTAGCCTTGAAGGCAACAAGAGGGATGTCATTACAGCCATTGTTTGACTGTTTCACAAACTTGAAATTATGTCTGGCACTTAACTTTTTAAATCTTAACAAAAATAAAACTGGAGTGTGTGCTTTTTGAAGACTTGGCGAACTTAACTTCTTTTGACCAGGGTCTGGGCCCCCTGGCTTGTCATCTGAAGTTGACTGTAAAAAACCTAGGGGTGATGTTTGATGGCGAGTTAAGGTTTGACAAGCAAATCAACTCAGTTGTGAAATCTAGCTTCTTCCACCTGAGGTTGTTAAGTAATGTCAGGTCATTCCTTTCTTTTAATGATTTTGAGATTGCAATCCATGCTTTTATCACCTCCCGCCTGGACTATTGCAATGCTCTATACTATGGTGTTAAACACTCCTCCCTCTTTCGTCTTCAGATGGTTAAAAATGCTGCAGCTCATCTTCTGACAAGTACCAGAAAATCTGAGCATATAACCCCAGTTCTGGCTTCTCTCCACTGGCTTCCAGTCCATTTTAGATTTGGTTTTAAACAGTTAATTTTTGTTTTTAAGGCATTTAATGGTTTGGCACCATCATACCTCACTGAATTAGTGCATTGGCACAAACCTACAAGGTCCCTCAGATCTTCAATCCAGTTTCTTTTAGAGGTTCCTAGATATAAACTGTGGGGTGATTGTGCTTGTTCCTAAATTGTGGAATAGTCTACCTTTTCATGTTAGATCAGCTACTGACCTGACTACTTTTAAATCCTTGCTTAAAGCATACTTATTTGCCTTGGCTTTTAATACACAGTAGGGCCTGATGCATTCCTTTTAATCTAATTTATTGAATGTGGTTCATCTGTGTGTCTGAGTTATTGTTTTATTTTTGCACTGAATCTATTTTATTTTAGTTATTTATTGTGATTTTATTGTCTATGTAAAGGACTTTGGTCAACTGGATGTTTTTAAATTTGATTTGACTTTTGAATTTGACTTTAATGAAATTTGTTAACTACTATATACCAAGGTCTCATCAGAACACAGGAGATCAGAGATATTTTATAGGAAAGTCTACCTTTAATTATTGTTATGTCTGTGTATGTATGTGGGTACATACTGTATGTTAAATGTAAAGTCTGATTCTGCTGCTGATATTTGTCTGATGTTTGTCTCCATAAAGAGATTATGCTCTAGTTTGTCATTCTGGATGATATGAGATTAATTCTGTCACTTGTCTTTTGCAAAGGGGGTCTGAAGTCGACACTAAAATGTGTCACTCTGAACCATCCACATTATCAATGTGTTGTTGGACCAACTGCATAAACTCATGGATGCAAATTGTGTGCACTGGAGCACGATTGTGTGTGGCGTATAGTCAGTATCAGTATCAGTTGTGTTAGCACCTATCATCAGCACTGCTTTGTAACTTTGTTAAACTGCAATGCCGTCTTCTTTCTTTCTTTCACCACAGCAAAATTTGCAATATACCACGGTCTGTTAGCTTAAAATTCAGAGGGAGCAAATGAGATGAGTGACGAGAGGCAGACAGCACTGCAGCGATGTGTGTGTGTGTGTGTGTGTGTGTAAACTAGCTGTCATAAAGAAGAAAGAGCGAGAAAGAGCAGCTGGAACCAGTTTATCGACACTATGGAAAATAAGTAATGAAACTTTTCCAAATTTTCCAAATCGGTATGTATCAAAAAAATCTATATTTTCGACAACATTTCTGGGCTACATGTGTATTTGCAAGTATGTTTGTGTAAGTATCTGATTTGTGTATATAAACACTTGCTTGTATTGTATAAATGCAAATTTCAGTTTTTATCAGTATTTGATGTCTTTTGTTTTTGTGATGCACTTTGCAACCATGTTTTGAAAAGCACTATAAAAATACTACTATTATTATTAATAATAATAATAAGAAGAAGATAAAACATAAAATCATCTGAGATAATGGAACAGTGGAGACTGGAATTTGCTGGGTTTTAGCTTGATTGGCCAATGGCTGGGGGTCG